CGGCAGGAGCACCCGGTGCGGTGCGCCCCGCGCTCGGTCGGTGGTCAGAAGGAGGAGACAGCATGACTTGGATTAACGTTAATTTCCCAAGAAAGTACGAGAAACCACCATGTCCCAGCAGGTGTAAACTCGGGGTTTTCCCATGTAACCAGGTTTTGGTTAAAAAAAGACAAGCGGCTCTGTACGAAACGTCCTCACCTTTGCCTGTTTTGTCCGCATTTGTGTGCCGGTACAGCAGACGGTGACGGTGGAGGTGCTGGACCACTTGGAACACCTGGCCTTGGTCGACTTCCGCGATGCGGAGGGTGTGGAGCGGCTGCAGAAAGCAATCCGGTTTGCTGATCAGCTTCGTGAAGTGAACACTGATGGTGTAGAACCTATGGATTCCGTCCTGGAGGACAGGTAATGGGTCGCCTCTGTTTAACCGTTAATGCATCCAGCTATTTCCTTCTGTAACTTTTTTCCCCTGTAAATAAGCCTGGTTACGCGTCTGGCTTACAGCAGAGTCTTACTGTGGCTTTGCGTGGAAGGAAGATGTCATTGGCACCTGTGGCCTTTATGTGTAAGCATAGCAAAGGTGTGCTCCAGTTCTTTTGTGTAGCTTACTTGTCACGAGCAATCTGCCCACACTGCTCCCCAAGTATCCGTCAGTGGCGTTCCCAGTTGCTTCAAAATGTTCCAGTACTTGTCTCACTGCTTACTTAAGACCAAAACCAGGTTTAGAGATAAGCCACACTTCAAATCTCATATTTATAGAATAGCTTAAAGACAGGCTAGTAATTTTTGTTCTTCAGGTGTCTGTATCTCAGGGAAGATGATGTGACAGAAGGCAACTGCACGAACGAGCTGCTGAAAAATGCGAGAGAGAAAGTAGAGGAATATTTTGTAGCCCCACCAGGTATTGTCTTGCTTACAAAAACCTCTTAATTTTGCTTGAATTAACCCGAGGAATGTAACCTGCCATAGCTGCATTTGCTTTCAGAAATACTAGCTTGTAATAAGGAAGTACTAAAATAAGTTACTGTAGCCATCTGTAAAAACCAGACTGCAATCTACTGGTCCAAAGCAGTACAGACGCTAACTTTAGAGTAAAGTTACTGCACATGCTGAGTGATGATTTACAGGGAGTCAGAGAGGACTTGCTTGCATTCCTTACTTGCTCAGGAAATTTAAGCTGCCTGTATGTGCTCAGAATAAACTTGAGAAACTAAGCTCTGCTACCTGGAAGATACCTTACAGCTGGTCTCACACAACTCTCTCTTTGTTTTTTATCAGGTAACATCCCTCTACCAAAGCTAGAAGAACGAGATACTTTTCTGCAGGGCTCTTAGCGAAAGCCCAGAACCCAAACACAATTTCAGTATTTTATGTGGGAAAACTTAAGATTTGTACAGTCACGGATGAAATATCCTGGCACGTATTTTCACCAAAAGAAGAGCACTTGCAAGACAATTTACAGAAGGAAGGTGTAAGATGTTTAGTAGCGCTGCTGAAATTTCAATGTTTATGAAGCTGGAAGGCAAGATGACAGATCACTTCAGTGCTTTTATTTAGCAAAGCAAATTCAATGTTCTTTTTAAAGTTACTGAATCGCTTAAAGGCCTTAAAGAGAACATTAAAAGGTTATGATTAAAAAAACCAGAACACTGTATTTTTCCTCAGCTATTTTGTCAGGAAAACAAGAGTTTGGCAGGCTGTATTTGCCTGTTTGTCACCTTTAGCTCGACTCTGGCTGTGACCCTGTCAGAAGCAACAAAGTCTGGTTTGGAAGAGTCCATAACGTTGCTGAGGATCTCTTTGGCATACGGACAGAACTCAGATTTTCACTACGGAAGAAAAGGCACTTTGAGGAGATCAGTCACTCAGATTATTGAATATTTCTGTTTTATCTCTGTGCTCCATGTCTGTATGGGTTACCTTCTGTTTCACACTTTGTATTTTTATTCTGACAAATTAAATACTAGGAGTTGTACATAATTTGAGAAAGAACTTTTCACACACAGAAATAGCTGCTCCAAAACTAAAAATATTTGCCATCAATATGGCAGGAAATATAAATTAGAGATTAATGATACACATGCATTGTTTCTTATCATCTCAAAAGCCCACCAAGCATATTAGAAATATGATAATTTGAAAAACACTGA